CCAAGTTTGAGGTCAGCCTCAGCAACTAAGCAAGACTCTGTCTCAAAAAAAAAAAAAAAGAATCTAGAATGTAGAATATGTGTGTGTGTGTGTGTGTGTGTGTGTGTGTGTGTATAAAATTTATGGTGCTGGGGATTGAACCCGAGGTCTTGTACATGCTTGGCAGGCACTCAACCAACTGAGATATATCCCTAGCTCTACAATAGTTTTTTAATTGAGACAGGGTCTCACTTTGTTGCCCAGGCTGGTTTCAAATTTGTGAACTCAAGTGATCCACCTACCTTGGCTTCCTGAATAGCTGGGACTATAGGTACTCAGCTAGCAATACATTTTTATTCTATATGTTAAAATGACAACATTTTGAAAATACTGAGTTAAATGAAACATACTTTAAAATTAATTTCACCAATTTCATTTACTTTTTTAATATGACTATTAGAAAATTTAAAATTAAGTGGTTCATATTTGTGGCTTCTACTGTGTTTCTCCTGGATAGTGCTGGGCTAAAGAATCACTGCACGGAAGCACAAAGGACACTTCTATATTTTAGTATCTTCTTGGTTCACTAAGAATTTGAGAGACAAGCTGGGTGTGGTTACACATGACGATAATCCTAGCAACTGGGGAGGGTGAGGCAGGAGGATCAAAGGCCAACCCCAGCAATTTAGGGAAAACCTGTCTCAAAATAAAAATAAATAAATAAAAGGTCTGAGGATGTAACTCAGCCCCTAGCTTCAATTTTCAGTCCAAAAATAAAATTTAAAATTTAAAAACCAGAATATGAGAGAGAAATCCATCTCCCACTTGTCCCAAGCATCTCAAATTTCAAGTCAGTGCCAAGCTGTGTAGTCCTGCTTCCTGTTTCACCTCCCTCAACTCCATTTCTTTGCATTTTCTACCCCTAGATAACCTCCAGGCTAATGGGAAGAAAGATAAAAACAGATTCCTCAAAGGCATGAATGAAAAAGACAAGCAGAACTGTAAGTGATGGCTGCTCCCTGTCATTTGGGGCAAGTGAGAAATGTAAAGGGGAAGAACTCTCTCTTTGGGTTCAAAAAGGCTTCCTGGGTGAATGCTAATTGAACCAATTGAGAAGAACAGATTCATATGTTTTATTTATTTAAACTTAGGTAATTCACAGCATAGTGACAATCCTAAATTTTAGAAGTATTTCTATTACTTTTGAATACTTCTAAAATTTAGGATTCTTCATTGCTTAGAGGCAGAGAAAAAAAAAGTGAGACAAGGAAGCAGAGGAGGCGTCTCTTTGTAGTATTAGCTGACCTGCTGGGCCTAGGTTTCTGGGCAAACTACTATGGATGTGATGTTAGAATAATTCAGAGATGGAGAATCATTGTCATAACAGCTTGTACTGAAATCAGTAGAAATGGTTCTGCCAACCTGATGGTAACACTAGAATTATCATTTCTTAAAGACCCACTATGTTCTGAGCATCCCATTTCCAAGATTGCAAACCCTACAACTATCCCCCAAGGTAGATGTTATTACCTGCAATTTACAATGAAGCTCCCTGGAATTCCAGAGAAGAGAGCTAGGTTTCTTGGGCCATGTGATTTTAAGTGAAATAGAATAAGAATTCATGAACTGGGGTTGTGGCTCAGAGGTAGAGCACTTGCCTAGCAAGTGTGAGGCCTGGGTTCGTTCCTCAGCACTACATAAAAGTAAATAAAATAAAGGTATTGTGTCCAACTACAACTAAAAAAAATATATATATTTATATATATAAAAAGAATTCACTTCTCCAAAGCCAGAAATGACACTATTCATTCCAAAGTCAGCAGGATTTAGAGATTCTATTCTACCAGCATTCCACAAGAGGAGATACTGACCTTTGAAGAGGGTGAGTGATTGCTGTGTTCCCTGACTTGTACCCTGATGAGTGTTCAACATCCCAAGTTCTAGCATTATGGACCAGTAGGGAAGCCTCCTTCTGTCTGTCATCCCCTTGGGTCGGGGATGGTGTTCACTGAGAACCACTGACTGTTGTTGTGGTACGGAGGATTGAAGCCTGGGGTGCTCAACCACTGAGCTACATACCCATCCCTTTTTATCTTTTGTTTTGAGATGGGGTCTTACTGAGTTGCCAGTCCTCAAACTTACAATTCCCCTGCCTCATCTTCCTTGGTTGCTGGGACTATTACAGATTTGCACCACTACCCCCAGTTGACTATTTGTATTTGTTTTTAATATGCAGTTTCTGGTTATTAAAACTAAATTTGGGTCTGGGTACATGGCTCAGTGGTAGAGTGCTTGGCTGGCATGGTATGTGAAAAACCCTGGATTCCATTCCTAGTGCCTCAAAAAACTTTTTTGTTTTCTCTCCCTAATTTCTAGGGTGTCTTTTAGAGAAAAATAATCCAGAATCATCTTTTCTAACTAGGAGTCTACTCAAAACCCTGGGATTTTCCTGTGGAGTAGTGAGAGGACCTCCAAGTCTACTGGAGGAAATGTTCTTTCCACCCAGCATCGGGAATACACTGAACTGACCCAGAATACACTGAAATTTCCTAACATGCAGGCCACCCTCTCCTGTCAGAACTAGGTGGAATGAATCAATGCTTTCAGTACCTACCTGAGATTGAGATTACAAATCAGCAGAAACTCCCCACTACTCAAATAGGAGAATAGGAAAACAACAGAAAGAGGGGTTTAGAGACACCTTAAAAAGAGATTGGGGGATGGCGTGCTGTGGAATCTATAGTTCTTGAATATACCAGGTGCCACATATTGCATGGGCAAATATGGGTGGCAGACAGCATCTCATGAGTCTTCTCTACTTTCCGAATTACAGGAAATACTGGGCCCCCCGATCCGTTTGCCCCTAACCTGTTTCTTGAATTTAGCCTAGGTCCCTCCTGCTGTAGGTAGAACTCAGCCGCACAATTGGCGATGGAAATTCATTGCTGACGCTTACTGACATCTTTTCTATTTTCCTTCTCCTTCTTCCTCAAAGGGGACGAAACAATTAAGCCGGGGCCATCTAATCCCTACCCCCGAACTCCAACCCACGCCTTATTTGGGGCTCCCTTTGCTGGGGAAGCCGCCCCTTCAGCATCACTTCTGGCCGGAAGCAGGGAGACTTATGTTGAAGTTCCTGAAAACGGAGCGGGGAGCTTTAGCGCTGAGATTACTGAACGGTTCAAAGTGGTGCTGAGTGAGTGGTTGAAGGCGATCATGGTCCCTGGTTGAGCAGAGTCGCGTCGAGGGAGTGGAAAGTCGAGGAGAGGCCTGGGCTACTGACAGGGAAGATGCGGGTGGTGGTGAAGGCTGGAGAAGGATGAACGCGTTCTTTAATGAAACGAAAGGAAAAGGCAACCTTGGACCCTTGGAGCTCTAGCCTCATTCTTGGCTTCTCCTATCACTTTGGCTATGGTGCCTCCTAGAGGATAAACGTAGTCCCTACCACTGTCTCCCTCTGATTCCCTCCCTGACTACCCCGCCGCTCCTCTTTTTAAACTGTTTGAGTGGCAGTAGTTCAGGCACAAGGCCAAAGATGAGTAAGACCTGCTTGGGTCAAGATCCTAACCCTCCCCATGAGCCTTCATTCTTGTGTTTGAGGGACTTCACTTTGGAAAAATTACTTAAGCTCATTAAAGTCTGAGCCTCAACATCTCATACTAGCCTCAATCAGGGACCACGGGAAACGAGGAAGGAAGAGATGATCTCTCATCTTTGATTGTTGAAATGATCCCACCACCATCAGCAGCAGGGAGCTCCCCTCTGCACCCACAGAACAGCACATGATGAAATCAGGGATGGACTTTAAGGGGGAGATAGGCCTAGGACTTCTCCTATGGCTAGGGTTGTGCCTGGGGAGAGGAAACCTATTTCCAGCTGCATCTGGGGAAGCTCAGAATTTGGGGTTGAACAACTTGACTCTCCCTCTTTCTCCTCATTTTCCCACAGCCCCTGTGACACTGGATACGGCCTCGGCCCACCCAGACCTCATCCTTTCCCAGGATCTAAAGACAGTAACTCTGGCCCTCCACTTCCCGCGCAGGTCGGAGGAGCCCGCCAACCCCGAGTGCTTCTACCCTTTTCGTTGTGTACTGGGCTCTCCAGGCATTACTTCTGGCTGCCAGGCGTGGGAGGCGGAGCTTCAAGGGAGGGAACGCGGGGGCTGTCTGGTGGGCGTGGCCTCGGAGCTAGTGTCAAGACGCGGTTGTCTGCTTGTGGAGCCCTTGGCAGGCCTCTGGACGCTGCGCATCACAAGCCTTGGGTGCGAGGCGCTCACCGATGGTGGTACCCGGGAGAACCTCCCCATCCATCCGAAGAAAGTGGGCATCTTCGTGGACCACGCACGCGGGAAGATCGTCTTCTTTGACAGCACCACAAGCAAGCACATCTATACCTTTCACGCCTCCTTCGCTGGGCAGATCTTCCCCTTTTTCCAGCTCCTGTACCCTGGCACCCGAATCTCCCTGAATCCCTAGAGTTGTTCCCTTTCCTTTCTCTCCATCTCTTCCCTTCTAACTCCCCATTTTGGGATGCGCTGCAGCTAGTCCCATTGAAGCTAGGCTTCCTGGAGCCCTTTCCAAACATTCTGATATTCTGACCCCATTTAAAATTTTCCATTTTTCTCTCAGGTTCCCCTTCCCCTTTCTATGTCTGAATCAAGAAGAAAGACTCAAATACACCAAAAGACTATACATAAGACTATCCGTTGCAACACTTTTTGTAATAGAACAAGATTGGAAGCAACTCAAATGCCCCTCAACAAGTGATGGTTAAAAAAAGCTGAAGTGAGAAAGCATTTGAACCCTAGTTGAGACTAAGATGCAGAAGCTGACCTGAGCTGCTCCCTTCTTTTCCTCCACCTCATTTTTCCTGCTGCACACACCTGCACAAGTAACTCTGAATGCAGCCTTTGCTGGTCCAGACCTCATCCTTTCCTGAGGTCTGAAAACCACCATGTTGGGCTTTGTCTCTTCAGAAGACTCAGCCAGATCCTCTTTAACACCAATTTGCAAATGAGGACTATTTGTGTTGTAATATGGGATGACCTCCAAGATATATTGTTAAGTGAAAAAATTAAGTGGGTAACCATACATATAGTATGTTAAATGTCACATAAGGGGGGGGTATTAATATACATTTTTCCTTATATTTATTTTCTTTTTAAAGAGAAGGATAAATCAAAACCTAATTCAAATTACCTATGAGGGAGGGTAAAATTAGGTGGAAATTAGTCTTTTCTAAATATTTCAAACCCAGGGCCTTATGCTTGCCAGCCTTTACTGAACTCACTAAGCCACATCCTCAGCACAAGTGTGTGTCATTTTGTATATTTGACATAATGTAAATATTTTACATCATTATAAAAAATTAAATGAGATTAAATGAATCTAACTGTCTACATAGTTAGTAGTATTTCTTAGCTATGTCCATAAAGAAGAACTAAAACTAATTTGAAACTCATCAGATTTAGATCTGAGTAACAAGAGATTCAGAAGACACAGTCTGAAACTTCCAATTTGGAAAATTTGCAGGAGAAAGAACAAGTTTTCTTCATTAAATAAATTGCTGAGAGGTAGGCACAGTGGCACATGTCTATCTATAATCCCAGCAATTTGGGAAGCTAAAACAGGAAGAATAAGAGTTGGAGGTCAGTCATAGCCATGTAGTGAGACTGTGAAAATGAAAAATAAAAGACTGGAGATGTAGCTCAGTGTTAGAGCACCCTTGGGTTCAATCCGCAATACCACACACACAAAAAAGAAAAAGAAAAAGTAACAAAAAATTGCTGGGAAAGGAGGAGAAACATACAGACTAAAAGAGACTAAAGGACATATCAACCACATGCATTGCAGACTTATTTGCATCTTGGTTTGAATAAGTTAATTGCAATTAATTTTTAAAATTATGAGACAAAAATTTGAACATCAGTTGTACATTTACATTAAAGAATTGTTCATCTTTAAGGTATGATCATTATATTTTTATAAGCTATTTGCATACTGAAGTTTTTACAAAAGAAAAGATGTGATGTCTGGTATTTGCTTAAAAACAGTGGGAAAAAAGAGGCGAGATGAGTTGCTAATTGTTGAAGGAGGAGATAAGTGCCCAAGAGTTCATCATACTATTTTCTCTACTTTTATATAGGTTTTAAACTTTTCCATAATAGAAAGGGAGCGCGCGCGCGCGCACACACACACACACACACACACACACACACACACACACACACGAGGGTGGGGGAGTGAGACCCTCTAAGTAAGGTCTCTACCAGAATCAATATTTGGGAGTGAATTTGACTCAGGACCCAGACATCTATCCCTTCAGAAATGCTGAAAAGTTTCTGATTATGGCAAAAGATTTCTTTTCAAAGACAAATCCATCCGATTTTTCCAGGTCCTCATATTGAGAAAGCAAAGTTAAACCAGTACTATGTGCATCTTCCTCTCGAACTCTCACCATCACAACAAAAATCTGTATCATTTCTATTTTTGCCAGGAATCGAAGTTAAACTCAAAGGACTGCCTGTGTTTCCTGGGTGATACTGAATAAGTAAAAAGGACGAAGAGACGGACCCACGATTTGCGCCAGAGTTCAAATTTTTCTCTACGACTCTCTTCAGCTGGCCGGCGGGCAGGATTGGCAGATGGGGCGGGCATTCCGAGGTTTTTACAGCAGCCCAGTTGGGATTAGGAAGCGGCAGGATAGCAGCCGACGTGCCGAGTCGCCTGCTGACCGCCAGGCTGCTGGGCGCGTGTCCCCGAGAAGGGAGGGCGGGCCCAGGTGTCGGGGCAGGAGCGAGCCAACGCCCAGAGCGCGGATTCCAAGAGCGCGCTGTCAGCCCTGGCTGGGCTCCTCCATCCAGTTCCCCCGGTTGCCGGCGAGGCGCCGCTGATTACATAAACAGCCTTGGCTCTTCTGCCAAGGAAAGGACCTGGGACTGGTGACAAGGCGGCCAAGACCGGCCAGCAATTCCTGTCCTGACATTCATTCAGAATCACCCCGGGGTAGTTCAAATTCCCATATTCAAAAGTCCTAGCCATGAACTTCACACACTTTACCCTCTTTAATAATATGCATATTTAGCATCTTTGCTAGAAAGAGAGATCTCTAACTGTATTACATTAATTACCTACTTCTTCCCCTTTCCCAATCCCTGACACAGCACAGACACTAGAATGGGGTAGTTGATTAATATTTACTAAATAGAAACCATCTCCTAATTATTCTTTCCTGCAAAGGGCCAATGTCTTGGAAATTCAATTTTTTAAAAACATTCAGCCTTTAAAAAAAAAAGAGAGAAAGAATTTTTTAATATATTTATTTTTTAGGTGTAGATGGACACAACACGATACCTTTATTTTTATGTGGTGCTGAGGATTGAACCCCGGTCCCGCCTGTGCTAGGCGAGCGCTCTACCGCTGAGCCACAATCCCAGCCCCGAGAGAGAATTTTTTAATATTTATTTATTTATTTATTTTTTTAGTTTTCGGTGGACACAACATCTTTAGTTTTTAATGTTTTTTTTTTTTTTATGTGGTGCTGAGGATCGAACCCAGCGCCCACCCCCCTGCATGCCAGGCAAGCGTGCTACTGCTTGAGCCACATCCCCAGCTCTGGAAATTCAATTTTTATGGACCAGTTCCACCTCACTTCCTCCAAGAAGTCTTCCCCAGCCAGGGTGCCTGACTCTTGCTGTAGGAAGTGTGCATACTCTCAAAGCCACCAAAGGACCAGTTAGTAGATGGAAACTCCTTGAAGACAGAAGCAGCCTCTCACTCATTTTTTACTCCCGTACTCCAGTGGCAGTTCAGGGTATGGTTCAGAGTGAATGGAAGAATATTTTACCACCAGGTTTAAATTTGGGGAGGTCTTCCAACCTGAATCTTAATCTTGGGCAATGACCATCCCCTCCCTTATCCCTGAGGAAAGAGGGGCTTCTCTTTCAGAGCCTTTTGGAATCCTATATCCCTGAGGAGTGTTCAGGGCAGGTACTGAGTCCATATCAAGAGCTGAAATTTCCATTCCTTAACTTTTTATTTTCCTGTTCCCCCACATGTTAATAGTACCAACAATAACTTGTTCAGCAGTTTTTTAAATGGTTTCAGAGATGTTATTCCATTTACTCCTCACAATCTCTTGAAGAATTATGTATCATGGCACTCCCACATTCCAGATAGGTCATGGATGCTCAAACTTAAGTCTAAAGCACATACAAAAAGCGTTTTGAAAAGACAAAACCCCATAAACAAGTGACAGAATGATTACGACAAATAATAATCTTTCCATGGTATTGTTCCCTCCTAGACACCCTATTAGTTTCCTAGGACTGTCATAACACATTCACACAGACTGAGTGGCTTGAAACAACAGAAACTTATTCTTTCACAGTTTTGGAAGGTAGAAGTCTGAAATCAAGATGTCAGCAGAGCCCTGCTCCCTCTGAAGGGTCTAGGGAAGACTCCTTCCTTATCTCTGCTAGCTTCTGTAATACTGAAATCCTGGGCATTCTTTGGCTTGAAGATGCATCACTCTGATCTCTTCATCTGTCCTCTCCTCTATGTGTCTTTTTCTTCTCTTCTTCTCTCTTTCTCTCTCTCTCTCTCTCTCTCTCTCTCTCTCTCTCTCTCTCTCTCTCTCTCTCCCCCCACCCCCAGGGATTAAACACCCAGGGGTGCTTAACCACTGAGTCACATCCCCAGCACTTTTTACTCTTTGAGACTGGTTCTTACTAAATTGCTGGCTTTGAACTTGTGATCCCCCTGCCTCAGCCTCCTGAGCTGCTGGGTTTATAGGCATGCACCACTGTGCCCAGTTTTTCCCTGCATTTCTGTATCCAGATTTCCCTTTTCTTGTAAGGACACCAGTCATACTGGACCAAGGTCCACTTTAATCCAGTTGACTTCATTTGAACTTGATTTCATCTGAAAAGATCCTATTTTTAAACAAAGTTACCTTCATAGGTATCTGGAGCTAGGACTAGCTTTCTGGCAGACACAGTTCAACCTATAATTCCTTCTATCACATACTGGAAAATGAGGTTATGAAAAAGAGAAATGATGGCAGGAAAAATGGTTCTTTAGAGTCATGGCAGCTTTTGAAAGGCTCTGAAAGAAGAATTCCTCTTCCTTCAGGAGCTGAGAAGGGGATGGTCATTGTTCTATTACTGAAAAAGCCAAGCCAAAAACTGAAGGAAGTCAAAACAAGAAGAAAGGAAGACAAGGTAGTGGGTCAGAGGATGCATTCTCCAGGGAGAGTCAAGTTTGAGCAACTAGACTGGAGGACCAAGGAAGTGGCAAGGTAGAAGAGAAAACTGTGTAGTGGGAGTGCAGAAAGCATGAGGGGGTGCAAAAGAACTGCTCCCTAGCAAGGGAGAGTAAGCAAGAGCCACCCACTCTTGGGGAAGTCCAGTGACAACTAAGGTCAGTGTCAAAAGGAGGAGGCCCATGGTGCTGAGACCCTTCCACCCACCCCTTGAGAAGCATGGAGTCTGCTAACTCCTGAAGCATAGTCCAGATACTTCTGGATCTTCAAATCATCTTGTCCTCCTTCCTGTGGCCGTTTTCTCTACTCATTTTTTTGCCACCATCCTCCACTTACTCACCTTCACCTAGGTGTTTTTCTCATCCTCTTTTTCCTCACTCTCATGGTCCTTTAGGGCCCAACTCTATGCTTCTTCTTCAGAACTCCACCC